AAATAATGATATACTTAATAGAAAACACATTGTTATATTTTAAAGTTTGTTGTATAAAAATTCAAAAAGAAATTTTTTAAAAAAATTACTAATATCTTACATGCATGTGTGCTTATGTTTTTTATGACTATAAAAAAATTTCAACAAGTTTATTTATAGTGAATTCAAATAAAAAATATTTGTTTTTTCTTATCTAAAAGATATATTTTTAAATCAATTTAATTTTATTATTTATTAAAAGGTATAAAGCAGTGTTAGAATCATTCGATAAATTCCGTTCTGTCTCAAAAAATGGTTAAATATCAGTAAAAAGTAAAAAATTCTGATTTTCTTTAGTCATACAGGTATTAACAGAACGTAAATTGATCAAAATTCTGTTCGTGTGTTCCCGTTCTTATAAAAAATCACAACAAATGGTTATTAAAAACTTTTTTAACAAAACCAATGTAAACTAAAACATTCAGATTTAGAATACGAGAAAAAATACTAAATAGAACATTTTATTTTATATAAAAACATAAACTATCACTTTGTATTCATCAAGATAATAAATAATTTAAGAAATATAATACAGTCAATATATTTTGAAAGAAATGATTTTTAATATTATAAAAATTTAAAAAGATTTTAGATCATTTTTAACCAAAGTAATTGTTTATTAAAAAAAGTTTATTATTCTATAAGCCTCTGAAATATTTTGAAAAAAGAATATATTACTAAAATAATAGATTCTAAATTACACCTTTTATTGTTTAAATTATAAAAAAGTCTAAAAAGCTTCTTTCAACTACTACTTGATTTGAAGGAATGCATAAAAAATACAAAGTAATAACAGCCAATAAAATTCCTTTTCATCTCTCAAACTCTCAATAATTTAACACATCTGTACCGTTTGATAGTCTTGGTGTTATTTTATAGTTATCTAATATTAATTTGATACTATTAATTTTGTTTTCATATAAATATATTTAAATTCAAATTATCTCTTTCTAAACTAAACATTCCAAGCTGTTTTATTGTTTTCAGTTTCATCAATATTTAAATTACTTATATAATTAAAATACTTACCAACTTCATAGAAATAATTAATACCAACTTACTTTTTTGAGAAGTTAAAATATTTTTAATTCTTATATCTAAATCATCGCTGAATTGTTAAGATCATTATTGAATAAATTGCTAATTCTATAATCTATATATTTTCTTAATCAAAACGAATAAATATGAATACACAATTCCTTTAAATTTTATAATGAAATCTTGATGGAATAAATTTAAATCTGTGAAGTTAAATATAGCTTTAGTAACTTGAGATTGCTTAGTTATATAAACCAAAAATTTTTACTGAAAATATAAGTTTTTTTTTGAATACCTGTTATAAAACGAATTCATCATAAAACATATTTTTTCTTATATCATAAAACATATATTTCGAAGATTTTAACATTCTATACAGTTTAAACCATCTAATACTGTTATCAATTACGGTTATTTTTATGTTTTGATATTAAATATGTCAATATATAGTTTTCTTCAAACCACTTTAACAATTTTACAAAGTTATTCAATAAATAAATTTTTAGTTTGAATTAAATAGCTATTTGTCAATTGAAATGTATGTGTTGAACATAAATTTTAAAATATTCGAAGAACTAACATTCTCAACACATTTTTCCAATTCACGATCAATAATTTCACCATAAAACTCATTTAAATCCTCATCTATTTCTAAATTATAGTCTATTTTAAAAATCAATAGTTTTAATCATTTTCCAGTAGTATATGTTGCTGTAGTGATAATTTGTGTTTTCTTTGATTTAATACCTTTTCAATATTTCATTAAAATATTTGGCAATTTTATCTGTGAATAAAGCCTTTTAATTGTTTGACAGAAAGATTCAAACATAACATCTTTATATCGAAGTATTGACAATTAACTGAAATAAAATACTTTCTAAATCTCGTTATTATATCAAATTAAATTGAAATTATTCGATTGATAAATGTTTTTATAATCTGAATATGTTTGAGAGTTGTATTTTCAGTGATAAATTTACTGATAGCGTGTATTTTAAAAGATAAATCAAAAGCTTTTTAATATGGTAATAATAAAATTTTAATGTTTTTGCAATCAAATATTGCAAAACGACAGTCATTTTACCAATAAAGATCATATTATTCTAATAAAATTTTCTTTTAATATCTTAATCAACATTTTTTAAGTTTTATCGTTAAGATTTTTATTCATATATCTATTTAGTGAATTTTTTTAATAAGTTTAATGTATTTTTCAAATTTTTCGTAGTATTCTATTAAACGATTTTTAATCAAATATTTTAAAAAATTATTCTTATAGTAATTTTTTTTGAATTTCTGATTATAGTTATTTTTATCTAAAACATAAAATAATATTTTTTATTGGTGAATATCTTACCCTCTAATAAATATGTGTTTGATTTCTAAAACTAAGTTTCATAATTACTATAAAAACAATTTCCTTAAATAAAACATGTTTAAACATAAGTATTTATTTTCAAGTAAACAACACAACCATACAAACACGACACTGATTAATTTATAACACTCTTTAATGAATTTTGTCTCTAATTTATTATATATATTAAATTCATGAAGTAAAAAAATAAATTTATTATTTCTTAGAAGTTTTAGAATAAAAAACTTATATTTTAAAGAGGGTTTATAAAAATATTAAAAAATATAGTCATTTTATACCTTATCATTTAGTATTATATTCTTTGTTTTTAAAAACTTTTAAACAACGTTTATGTAATCTTCTTGTATATTTAAACACTAAATTAAAAATTATGTTTCTTTAACTTAACAACTTTTTATTATTTGATTTTAAGATAACCTGTATAACTTTAATTGTATTAAGATATAGACTCTTAATAAACCAATATAAAAATAAACATATTTTTCTATTAATTTAATCAGCTACGAGTATAGAAATGTTTTTTGAATCTTTATCATGCATATAAATACAAATATATTAATAAAGGCATATTTTGATTGTTTAAACATATAAATTTTTATCATAAATTGTTTATATGCTTTATTTATTATCATTGATTCAACCTCAACAAGTCTTCAACCTCTTTGGATGATACACATCTAAAAACGCCATATTTTTTCATAAATGTTTAAAAACACTTATTGTATTTTCAAACTTATATGCTTCATCTGATAAATAAAAAACATATTTTATACCATCGGATGTAAAAAAAATTTAAACTGATACAAAAATATAGTGAATCTATGATATCGTTAAAAACACCTGAAATTTTATAATATTTTTTACTGTTTTTAAAGTCTCAACAAAGGTTTTTGAGCTTCTTTAGCTTTTTTAATTAAAAGTCACTTAATATCATTAAAACAATGGATTTTGTAACAGTTTAAATAATTATTCTTCAAATTTCTTTTTATAATCATAATAATTCATTTACAATCTTTTTTTAATTACACAACTTATATTTTTCATTAATTTATTTAACATTTAATTACATCTAGATTCTAATTTTACTAGTGATTGATAAATTTTCTCATATCTTTTACTAATATTGTACAGAAATGTTTTCAAAAATTTTTATATTTAACAACTTTTTGACTTAATTTTTTTTAATTCGTCGTAAATTAAACCATTAATATCAAAATTAAGATTTTTAAATAATTATTATTACAAAAATTAATTTTACGTTAATTTCAGAGGAAAATTGAAAAACGTTATATTTTTCAAATTTTTGTAAACTCTTTTTAAATATATTATTTTTATTTATTTTTTACAAATTTTTTGAATAAATATGTATAATACATGCTTTTATTAATATTAATACATGGATTTTTTTAGTTTTTTTTAATTATCATATTTTTTTATACTATATTTATACTTGTAATTATAAAAATTTTTAGATTAAAGGTAGTGCTAAATTAAACATCACTGTTTTTAGTCTATTACTTCACTCTTATATTTTAAACATAAGGTTTAGGTTGATAACTTTTGCTTTAGTTATGTAGTTCATTTGGATTAGATATAAAATGGTATATTATTGTTATGGTTATAACTTATTTTTAATAATATAATTAGCTTAAGTTTTGTTTTTATTTCTATAAAAAACACCTTATATTTGAGAAAATATTATTCTTTTTCTGTAACAAAACAATTTTTTATATTGATTTTTAGTTATTTTTCTAAACTTTTTGTGGTTTTTGTGTTGTAATTTTTCATTTTATGATATACTCTATTTGATTTTTTTAAACACATCTTTTTGTTTAAGTTTACATGTTTTGGTTTGTATTGTTTTCTTCTCATCATGGTTAAAAATAAACATTGTTTTTGTTATTTAATTAAAAACTGTTTTTTTGTCGAGCTAATCCTGATTTTTGATAATTTTAATTTATTTTATAATATTAGGTTTTAATATAACACTAATTAGCAAAGATTGATGTTAATTAGATTTAAAAACGACATTGTTTTACTATTATATTAATTGTGGTACAAAAACAATTGATAAAATATTAAGTATTTTACTTGATTAGTAGCATTATAGGATTAAGTATGAATTTTTTTA